GTTTTCACACGAAACGAGGGATGAGGTCTCGTGGACCGAATCAAGCTAAATATCGCATAAAAGCTAAACAGCTGCAGTACAACGAGATTTATCCATCCTTTTATGGTGAGATCGACCTACTAATCTCCTCTTCGTGCACTTTCATGCGAAATAAAATTTCCCCCAATAATAGATAGAAAAAAGGCAATTCATAATAAACTAAGCATGAAGAAACGCATGGAAGAATAACTCTGCTAAAAGAGAGCAGACACTAAAATTTTTGGTGAAGGCGAATATTCTCTTTGTTTTGCCAACAATGAAGATAATATCCAGGGAAAATAACTATTATGCCAACTCACCCTCTCGATGGGGCACAAGTTCGTAAACGAGGCGCTTGGAAATCTTGGAAGGCCTGTCAGTATCCATCTTTAAAACATACAAGTCTGGAAGGGACCTAGAATAAAAGAAAATTCATGATTTTAAGTAAATATTTCAAAGCATTTATGCCAATTTCAGCGCGGAATTTAGCCTTAACAGTACATAATGAAATATTGAAAGATTTCGTAAATCCATTTGATGGATTGACTAAGTAGAGGCCAAAAAGATGACACTAAAATAGCCCTTATTGGTAAGAACATAGAAGGATTGATGCTTCGGTAATCAAATGGCGGAAGGATCAGTGAAAGTTTTGCTTAGATGCCAGTTGTCCCCGAATATAACTTAAAACTACATTGTCAAATAATATAATTAGTTATAGAGATGATAAGCAATTTTAGCGGTGCTAGGTGATAATGATTATCTAAACTTATTAAAGACAGGACCATTAAGACTATATAACAGAAAATTGAAGGCAAAATGACTACAATTACCCTCAGATTAATCTGCTAGAGTTAATCTTTAAGGTTGACGAGCAAGCGGTTACAGAAATGAGAATAAAAGTTTCATGTAAGAGTTGTCCACATGTAGTGAAATATATTCCATCAAGTGAAGAATAGGTATTCTGTCGTTATCTTGGGGTAACTAACCCAAATATTTCTTTGTTTATGCTGGAAACTGGTAAAGTGATGCTATATGTATATTGAAAAGGGGCATCGCTTGAATCCACCGGTTTCTGATCCCTTTGGGTCATTTCGAAGTCAGACGACGTAACGCCTACTTTGGGTTGGCATTCATTTCCAAAGGCATTCGTCCAGACTAAATCGGGAATCGGATCCAAGAGAATTTTTCTATACGAAGCAAAAGAGTTCTGTGGAAAATAAAGACATACGTCAAATCTATAGCCTAAGTATAAAATTTTAAATCCGAATAATACATACTAATAGAATCAAACAAGAGTGTAATGCATACGTTTTTTTGTGAATGTAATAAGTTTCATAAAAGGGAAATTGTACCTGATTATGGGCTCTACATGACTAGAGGAACAGTAAAGACTAAATATTTTCAAGGTACAGGCAGCTAAATAAAGCCTGTGTAGCCGAGATAATTGGGCTCCTAAATCGAAAGGAGTGAGGCAAAGGACGGTATCTAAGTGCTCATCAAAGTTGCTTTTAATGAAGGAAAATTGATTTTTTGAATCATATGCTAACGAATATCGAGATTTTGCGTCAAAGGTACTGCATTCAAGCAGCAAGCCGGGAATAGCTATAGAAGGAAGAACAACAATACGAAAATCATTTTATTCGCCCGATAATACAATCTTTAAGTAGATAAAATAAGAATAAAATATATATTAATACTAACAAGGCATCCCAAAAGTAAGCAAATTACATATAGCAAATAGTTAACTAACTTTAAGAAGCAACCTTAATCCTCCTAATGAGACAATTGAACTTAAATCAATGTAAGACATACTCCTAGAGAAGTCCAGACCTGGAATATACTTAAAAGGTAGTAAAATGCTGTAATATGATTAAGGACAAATTGACTTGAATTTCACCGCGAAAAATAAGGACAATAAAGTTGAAGGCTACCCGAAATATTGGTGGCTCGCCTTTCATTTTGAAGGAAAAGTTGGTTAAAAAGGATTCGTAAACTGGTCTCATTGAAGCCGGAGGATGGCTTTAAAGTGAATACTGTTATTTGGCACCATCCTGTGACCCAAATAAACCAAACCAAACGCTCACTAAACCTGCGCATGTGGTTTTATGCCATGATAATCTCTTCTGGATCGGTATACAGGTTTCCAGATAGACTATGAGCACAAAATCATGAACTAGATTGGTCTATAAAAATAAAAAGATGACATCCTGAGTATGAATATAAAAAACAGACTGCGAGTTATTTGACTGCGTGATAGGTTTAAGAAGAACGAGTAGGCAAGAAGAAAAGCTAAACAAGAGGTAATGACAGTGTCGAATACGGTTGGGCTCATCACACCGCTCGTGACTTGAATATTGCATACATGTAATAAACAATAGCCTATTCCTATGCACACTTCAGCCTTAGCGCTAGGTTATTTACGTAAGAAATAATTGTGATTGCAGAAACTGCCTCTCATCATTTAACTTCGCCTATCTGCATGTAGGGTGAGTATAAAGTAGCCAGCCAAATAATGGAATGCACCGTTAAGATCACAAGATTAGGTATAAGAAATGATTGTGCTTGCAACCAGCTAGCTTAACAATTTATTTAGCGTAGTGCGCTTTTTCGTGAACCATGATTTTTAACTGAGGATACCCATCAAATGACGTACGAAAAGTCTCACATAACCTTGAGACAAAATCCTTTTCGCATAATCCAAAAATGCTCACATCAAAGCAACTCTCCTTCAGTTTCCGGTGATACCGATTCAGGAATCCTTTCCAATCAATGTTTACTTTAAATGAAAGCAAACTAACTCTATACCATGAAATGATTCATCAGAATCTAACTTTTATCTATACACTCAACATTTTTTATGATTACACGAGATTGTAAGATGAAATTAAGCCTTGGTAAGCGCTGATTCCTTGAAAAGAACCAGGATATTTCTTTATAGCAGTGATAGTAAAGAATAGAAACACGTGAGGTAAAATGATAGTTGCCGACAATGATGGCGTAGATGCGATGAGGTAAATACAAAAATTAAAGAGAAGCCATGCTAGCCGAGATTATAATTATAATTGTAGGAGCCGAAATCTGTCCATGATTTTAAGCTTCCCATGCAATCGAAGGAATATTATGATTAGCCTAAATAACTTAGATCTAGTTGAATTAAGAGCGCAATTAACATAAGACAAGCCAATCACAGAAGCCCAAATAACTGAATTCACTGAAATAAGCAAATAAATACAGGCATACTCGAATTGACGGAAAAATGAAGGATGTATAAGTGAATGAAATAAATTCAGTATTATGGAGCAAGCTTACCAGATTCTATGAGATAAGAACAATCCCTGGCGACCTTATATATACCAAGCTCTAGCAATGGTTCAATACCATGCAAAATAAAGGCACTTTTGGAGCTCATATTAAAAGTATCTGCTAAAATAAAGCGATTTGTCTTGCCCAGCTCCATTTTAGCTGTTGCCAAATCCTTCAAACGGCGTGAAAACTGTGAATGATCGAGAGAATTCAACTGGATAATATAAATAAAAGCTCTTACATGAATAACGACAGGGTTCTCAAGACAATATTGAATGGCAGATTGGAAGCAAAGCTTGATAGTTGATTTGTCTGTGACACCTGATTCGCGTGTAAAGAAAGGGATGATAAAAATGACCAACAAAAATTTTGAGTTGATAAGCTCTGACCTTTCATTAAGTTCCAGAGAAGCTCAGGGGTATTCAGATTTCTCGACTCTAGTCCAGTAATTTGGGTGGAATCATTAAGTGAGTGTAGACTAGATTTTAAAGCACTTGCATCTGAATTAGCATTAGTGTATAATACCAAGATACCTAGCTTTTCAAGAGAGAAAATAAATTCATTATGCGATATTTCAGGACCGTTTGCTCCCCATGATGAACTGTCCTCACAAAAGGCATTCCAAAGAGTCTAATAATAATAATAGGAAGAAACAGGCATATACCTTAATAGTAGTTATGTCGGAAAAAATTAAAGGAAGGGGAGTGGAATTATCATATGGAATTACTCTAGTAACCTAAAATTGACTATGAGAAAAATGAGCTACCATAAGTGCTGTATCGGTTGGAGAAGGAAGACAAAACAGCTTCGATCCTGGAAAATTCACATATACTCTTAAGTATGCTCTCTGTGCCTTGTAATATGATTCCACAGATACAGAGTGTTTCTGAAATCTATGATTATTTCAACCTACCGGGAACATCAACATTTTTATCTGGCGCAGCTCTGATAGATCACTAACTGTGCTGGGACCTGAGGAATAGGACGGTTGAAAAAGCTTACAGGTACCAGGAAAAATTCTGAGAATACGTCTAGTACAAGAACTTTTTCCAGGCAAAACAGCAACTAGCTCAGGAGAACCATGAGGTAGCATATACAAGGTACTCTCTCTGAATGACTCACTAAATCGATATGAACAAGGACAAACATTACTCCGTAAGGTCCCCACAAAAGGGGGATAATGATGTGTAATCAAAAAACCTCGACGACAAAGGTTTTTCCAGCGAGTATCCCTCTTGGTGTTCCACCTCGCCAGAAATATCGACAATATTTTCTAGTTGAAGAGGCATTCCGCTTAAA